GGAGGAGCTTATTGGACACTGTCCTCCCTGACAGGAGGGGGCCTGGCAGCGGGAGGGCACAGGGTGCCGGCCTGGGGAGAGAGAGGAGTGCGAGGGGCACGGAGGGGAGGCATTGCCACGGAGAACGGCTCCACCGGCGTTTCTGGCCGCCCGCCCTCGCGAGGCCAGAGTCCTTGCCACCCTCCCCGCCCCAGCTCCTGATCCTCTAGCCAAGGCTGCCCCCAGCCAGGCTCCTGGGTGGCCACGGGAACATCCGGGCAGACTCAACCCCTATTAACCGTCCACCTGGCTCCGAGGCTGGCGCCCTGGTTACAGACCAAAGGTCTGCAGTGGGAACCCAGCAGATGCTCTTGTGGGAGAAAGCAGTGGGAGTCTGCTGCCCTAAAGATTGACAGTATTGGGAAACCCTATGGAGGCAGTTGTGCCCTGCCCTGTGGGGTGCCTGCGGGCTGGAATCCACCACTGGGCGGTGGTGGGTTTGGTTTTGGTTTTGCACCCAGGGAATGTGGGCACCAGCCATGCCCTGGCTTAACCAAGCACTAGCAGATGGGTCCCCACAAGGCCCTCCCAGTATGTAGTCACAGGGACGGTCATAATGAGTTCTGTGAGGGAAAGACGGGCTTGAGAATTGTCTGTGTGCCAGGCACTGTGGAAGGACTTCTCTCCCCCAAAGTCCAGGAGGGGACACAGGACCACCCGTGCCTCCCAGTCACCTTCTGTAACAAGCGGCTCCCACATGGGGATGGCTCAGCCCCTCACTCCACCCCAAGTTAGCGTTTGGGCTCTTGTGTGCATTTGCTTGTATGCCAGAGATATCTGTTCCATCAGCACCCCTAAACTGGCCCAGATAATGGCTCCTTGCAAAAGGGTTTTCTGTGGGCCAATTTACAGGGACAGCTCAAGGCAAGGGGAGGGTCCTTCAAAACGTTTGTGGGAAAATCCCCTTCTCTGCTCATTCCATACACACACACACACACACACACACACACACCTCCATACTTCTGGAAGCCCAATAAATTAACTTTTGTCATTGTGTGACCGTGCATTTTCTCCAAGGCATTTCACTGACAGAGAACTTTCTCCTCTGCCAAACGGACTTAAGAGACTGAAAACAGCATGAGCCTAAGCTTGGCTAGGCTCACGAACCAACCTGCAAACATGCCTCTGTTCAGGGGTTGTCCCCAAACTGTCACTAGGGATAGTGCAGGCACCAGATCCCGTGAGAAGCAGAGGTTATTGTCTTGGTTCATCGTCTGAGGTTCTTGGGCCGGCCTGTGACTTCTCCCCTGTCCCCACTTGGTGGCCTTTTCTCCACCTGGTCTCTTCATTCTCCTCCCTCTTTGCTCACCTCAGCTTATGCATGACAGGGATTGGGGGTGGGGGTGGGAGGCGGAGGCAGAGAGCCTATGCGTGTGTATGCATGTGGCCGTGTGTGCACATATGTGGGTGGAGAGTCTGTCCAGAGCCCCATCGGGGCAATAGGACCAACCTCTATATGCATCATCTCTATTATCAAAATCAATAGCAGGGCTTTAGGATGAGGATTATCCGCCGTTGAAGATGAGCCTTCCCTCAGTTTGTACCTCCTTCCTTCATCCCATCCTGGTCCCTCAGACCTGGCTTACTGACTGAAGCCACGTCTGAATTGTGCACTCAGTCTGTCCGAGGTGAGGCGGCCTTGAAGGTAGGTGACATGCAGTACCACCCACTCCTGCTGGCCCACCCACCTCTACCTCACCACCTGGGCGAACAAGGCGAGCAGCACTGAGAGGAGATGGGAGAAAGCTCGGTGGGGTCGGTGGCACTGTCTGAGGGGGGGCCTTAGAAAGAGATCACTGTGTGGTGAGGAAGAGGGCGGGAGAATGAGAAAGCCAAGGACAGGCCCAGCCTTTGCAGAGGGGTTGGAAGGTCAGGGTGGGGACTTTCCTTCCTCAACCAGTGCTGTTTGTTAAGTGGCGAGCAGTCAGGGCAGGGATGCCTTCCTCCCCCACAGGGATATTGGGGCATCTCTCTCCCACCCCTCTCCACGGGGCAGGACTCAGTGCACCATCTCCCATGTGTCCAGTTTCCAAAGCTGTCGTCTTGCTTCTCCCAGAGCCTGCTCCATGCCTGCTCACCCTGAGGAAGTCGTGTCTCCCAGAACAGGGGTAGCAGTGGTGGCCAAAGTCCTTAGGCCCCCGGGCCTCCTCCCCAGCAGTCCCAAGGGATCGTTTAAGCTTTATTCCAAGCAAGCTTGGGGCTGACTTTAATGTAGGACCCTTTTGGGGAGAGGCAAACATGGTGCCTCCTTTTGGGGGGCCCAGAGGGGACGTTAGCCCTTCTTGAGTCCAAGTCCCTCACAGACCCCCATCTGACATCACCCTCTTGGCAGCCCTCAGGGAGGACACTGAATGTCTGCCCTTCATTTGAAGAAAGGGGGGGTCAGTGGCTCACCCAGGAGTGCTAGAGGCTGCTGGGCGAGCTCAAGTAGGCTGAGTGGCCAGAGAGAGAGACCCACAAGCAGACCAACCCTGGGGGGAGCGTTCCTACGTCCTCGCCAATGAAAGTGTAGCTCTGCCAGTGTGCACAAGCTGCAAGAACCGGAGAGAACAATTCTGCAGAGAGAATTGCTTAAGGACCTGAAGAGGCTAAGCGGGGTCTCGGCAAGAGTTGGGTTCTGTTGAACCAAGGGTCACTATGAATCTGAACTGACCCAATGGCCTCTACCTGCACCACCAAGAAGGGCAAAGGTACAGCTTGGGGGCAGGCTGGAAGGAGACGCCTTGGCAACACTGGGCTGCCGCCCTGCCAGGAACAGCACAGCAGTCCCAGCATCCCTGTCTGGGAACACTGGGGGGCTGTTCTCTACGTACATGCGGCAGGTTTCTTCCGATTTATGCACTGGTTTGAGGCTTATTTAAAACCAGATGCAACTGATTCCCAGTCGGCTGTGTCTACGTCCGTGATTGGGATTCATGAGGACAAAATAGCCAACGGGTGGATGCCAGCTTGTTGCTTTTGGTTTGTCCAAACCCAAGACCAAGGCCCTGCTCTGGGCATTGAGGCAGTGCCCGTGAAGTCCCACTCATTCCCCGTGCCAGCCACTGGAGGCAAGACACCGGGGCAGAAGGGTCTTCTCCCTACAGTGGGGGCCGACACACTCTGAAACCTCAAGCCCTTTGTGTTCTGGAGAGCTGGTCTCCACGCTAGAACCCCCTTCACCCCGTCTCCCTGATCCTTCTACATATCTGCCCTGGCTGCTGCAGGCTCCTACTCTGTCCTCAGCACCCCAGGATCTGAGGGTCAACCTGGATACCCCTGGGCAGCCAATGGGCTAGGCTGGCCTCCTCAAGCATTGGTGACTCATGAGTGGCTCTGGTGGAGGCAGTGGGAGGGTGGCGGGGCTAGGGTGAACCAGAGAAGAACAGAGAGGCAGGCATTCGGAGGAGGCAGGCTTCTGGGAGAACCCTGCCACTTCCTGGCGAGGAACCCAAAAGCAAGGCAGCCCGTCAAATGCAAACATTAGCTCCACAGTGGGTCCCTTTTGGGTAGCAGTGTATTCCCAATGCTGCATGGGACAAACTCGCCCCAACCAAGGATGCCCAGTTTATCTGAGATTCACCAGTCACCTGAGCAGCCATTGTTTTATCCAGATGGCCAATATTAGTCGGACCCTCCCAAGTCCTCCCGCCCAAAGCGGGAAAAGAATGTCGATGGCCAACGCTTTAACTTTCGGAATTGAACGATCTCTCAAGGCTAATAAGGAGGAGCTGCTCGCTGGCAACATCCCCCCACCAATGGCGCCCAGGGCACCTGCCAGACCTGCCTCCCTCTCTCATCGAATTCAACCAGCGACCCAGGTGGGTTACCTGGAAACTGTGCTCACACGGTTACTCTCCATTTAAAATCCTCCCACCTGTACGCACAGCCTGCCACCCTCCTCTCAACAAATGCCCCTTGAGCCCTCCCTCCCTCCCTTCTCCACCACCCTCCTGACTCCAGCGTTTGTTGTCCCCAAGCCTCATCCTCTCTGCTCCCCTGCCTGGAGCGTGCTCCGCCTCCCTGGTGTCTATTTCCATCATCTGCCTGTCTTCTGACATCACTCCGCGGTGCTGTGTGGGTGTCCCTGCTGCTGCTGCTGTGTGCATCTTAGCTCAGCTCAGACCTAGGCTTCCTGGCTGCTCAGCAAGGCTCAACTCTGGTGGCCTGGGGGAGTGAGTGACGAGGAGGGTTCACTGAGTGGCAGGAGGGGAGCAAAGAGCAGGGAGACAGAAGGAGGGACGCAGGCAGGAAAAGAGGTGGACAGAGAAGGCTAGTGGGCAGGCAGGTGGGGACCTCACTGGGGCTGAGCTCCCACACCCCCTACTCTAAGGGCCACCCTAGGCTCTTACCCTGGGGCTCTGATTGGCTCTCTGACCAGGGATAGATCCTGCTAAGGCCCTGCTAACTGCCTCACACGTGCTTGCCCAGAAAGAAGGTGTCCGCTCTTCCATTTCACTGGGCTGGCAGGGGAAATCTATTCCTGGGCCTGGGGCCTGGATGGTCAGGGACAGGGCAGGGGTGGCAGGGGAAGCCAAGAAGCAGAAAGAACAGTAGAAGAGAGCAGATGACAGTGAGTGGAGGCGGGGTGGGGCACCTGTGGGGAGGGGTGTTGTGAAGGAGCAGGTTAAAAGAACTGGGACACTGGAACCGGGTGTGAGCACCACCCTGTCCTAGGTGAATCCTAGGTGAAGCTAATTGGTTTGTTATCTTTACCCACCAAAGCATTTACTTTGGTTAGTCGCCCGATCCACAAACACTTTCGAGGAGATGACATTACCGAAAGGGAGGAACATCTGCATCAGCTCAGCGTCCCCAAACTCCTGGGGCAGATGGTAGATGAACAGGTTACAGCCCTCGGGCCCTGCGGTGGGGGGAGGGGATGGGCAGGGGAGGAGGGGATGGCGGGGTGGGGGTGGGGG